GAGCCGCGGGCCCCGCGGGAGGAGATCTTGGAGTGCCAGGTGATGTGGGAGCCCGACAGCAAGAAGAACACGCAGATGGACCGCTTCCGGGCCGCCGTGGGCGCCGCCTGCGGCCTGGCGCTGGGTGAGTGCGGCCGGCGGCGCGGGCCCTTCTCCGCGCCAGGGCGTGGCCCTCCTGGGCACCTCAGACCCCGGGTCCCTCCTCCCGGGGCGGCGGCCCTGGACCCTTTCCAGAGGCCTGGCATCTGTCGACGGTGGGTTCTGTGCCTGGCGCGTGGGGGGCTGTCACCTCTGCTTTCACTGCAGCTTCTCGCTGTACGTGGGGGTGTTGCCCCGCGGCCCTGGGAGTGACCGGTCCTTTTCTGGACATTCCTGCTTGGGGGTGGCATGCCCCTTGGGGTCTTCCACACTGAACGCCGCCCGCACAGACCGCACTGACCCTTCGTGGACTCCTAGGCAGCCAGAAGAATGGTCAGGCTGAGGCTTCCTTTGGGACAGGGCCAGAACGAACCAACACTTCCCCTCCCTTTCGCCTGCTCCCACATAGAACGTTGTCCAGCTTGCTCTTCACAGCCTTGGCCTTTAGAAACCTGGGTGGGGGGCAGAGAGTACCCCTCTCTGAGAAGCACCTCCTGGCCTTTTCCCCATTCCAGCCCGCTGTCCGATGGGGACCCCTCCACACCCCAGCAAGGGTTTTCAACACGTGGCCCTTCCCGCCCATTCACCTTTCCCTGGCAGCAGGACTCCTGTGCGGTGTCCGTGGCATCACTTCCCTTAGACAGTCCTGCAGCAATGGGACCTGAGTCATCTGCCCTGCAGCCTCTCCGTCCCCTCCTACCCTGTGCCAGTGGCCCAGCACCTCTCCACCCGTTTCCTCTTCCCTGAACACGGCTGGTTTTCCTGCTTCCTGCTCACCCTCCCGCCCCTCTTCAGCTTGCTCTGTGCCGCCTGCCAGGCTGTCTGCGAGCACAGGTCTGACTCTGTCACTGTTCACAATGGCCCCTTGTTGACCGCAGACTGCAGGCGGTGCCGCCTGGCAGCCTCCAGGCCCTGTACACGCGGCTGGCGTCATGGTAGGCGTCCTGCGGCCAGGGTGCCCCTCCTACGGCTGCCCACTCTGGCCCGCTCGGCCCAAGCACTAGCGCGTGAGCTCTCAGAGACAGGTGCGGGCAGTGACAGGTAGAGCCAGGTGAGCCGACATGTGTTGAGTTCCTCCTTCCTCAGGAAGAGGCAGATGGGACTGTATTCTTTTGTGCCCCTACCTGGATCCCTGCTTCTTCTGCCCCCCTGGGGTGCAGTGCCCCTTACCAGGTACTGTTCTGGCCCCCATGTTTCATAAGATGTTTTTACATCACACTGCCCTGTGAGGTGGGTGAGGCCACCTCTTAGCAGCTATGTGAGCAGGGGGGACATGCTGATCAGCCTCAGTTTCTCCCGCTGCCAAATGGGTACAATAAGAGGACCCTTGTCGTTGGTGTGAGGGGGACATACGGGAATGGGGGCCGGTATTTCTCTGCACCTTTGAGTGTGTGAGTGATTACTAGCCAGTACCGGGAATTCCCTGGCTCTGTCTGCCCATACCTCTCCACACCTCCAGGCTGGTGGCCTGTGACCTTCCCGCCAGACGGGACTAGCAGAAGGGGTTGGGCAACTCAGAGGCTGGGGGACAGCTGAGGACAAGCAGGACCTTCTACTACTTTTGAAAACCTGGTGTCCTATGAGGCTGGGCCCCCATGGCTGCCATCAGCTGAGTGATGGGACCCCTCTCTGAGGTTGGGGGGCAGTGAGAGCATGGTTTTTGCCCTTTCCTCTTTCCCATGCTCGACGCTCCCCTTCTTTCACCAGACTTGGCCCTGAAGGTTTGGCTCAGTGTGGGACGTTGTCCTGTCTGTGGGTATTCTGCACGGTGTGCGCCTATTCTCTTCAGCCCTTACCCTGCCCTTTCCCCGTGTCTGTAGCATTCTGATTGCATAGTGATCTCGCCCTCAACTTGTATTTTCTGCATCACCCACTGGGTGCACCCAGCTCCCCCCAGCCACCTCAGCCTGATAATGGGGCTCCCCATCCTGGTCCTCTCTCCGTGAGCCCAGCTCCCCAGCTTAGGGTCCCTGTGGTTCAGGAGGTGTGGGGCCGAGGAGGCTGTGTGGCCAGAGCTGGGCTGGCTTGACCATGTCCGCTTCTAGTGGACTCCCCGCACCCTCCCACCCCCTGGCCTCGGGTCCCCTGGGTGCACACTTCCCCAGGAGAGTCTGCAGCTCCCTGTACCTGCCTGTGAGCCTGGCAGGTTGGGTGTGACAAAGTGAGTGCCCTGTGGGCCACCCCTGTGTGTGAGCTGCTGGGGTGGCTCCCCAACATAGACATCTGGGGCCTGTTCTTGGACAGCTCAGGTGGAGTTTGGGGGGAGTCTGTGCAACATGCACGTCAGCTCTGGGCCTGCCCAGCCCTCCCTGACCTTAGGGCTCCCCGATGCTGTTTTTTTTTTTTAAGGATTTATTTATTTATTCATATAGAACTGGGGTACAGGCCAGAGATACGGAGGGTGAGAGGATTCACCAG